AGGCCCAGTTCAGACGCCGAACTTTTCATGAGCCGAACTTAATTCGAATTTGGACCGACCCAAATTACCAAAAGTACACCTGTTGATTCAGACGTTGAACTTAATTCGCGGAACTTTATTTAGTTTAAACCAAATCACATCGAAATGATAGCGATTTTCAGGCAAAGTGAAAACTGCTTGTAAAATACGTTATGATAATTTATGCATTAGGTTCGGCTCATGAAAAGTTCGACGTCTGTATCAAAACCGTTCCAAAGCCAAAATTCCCGGCTGAGCTAGGCGGGAAGAACGGCTGGGCCGTTCCAAATTCAAATAGCCGTTCTTAATTGATTCAAACGCCAAACTTTTCATGTACTTAATTCAATGTATTTGGTTCGGCTGATGAAAAGTTCGGCGTCCGAACTGGGCCTAAGGGACATTTCTCAAACTCATTCGGTCTGGCTGCACAGCAATGCATGACGGGATAACGTCACTTTTTTTTGGTCCAGTCTCATTGGAGACGGTTCAGCGTCTTCGCTGTGTGGAAGCTTGGTTGTTCTTTTGTTGACGTTCATAACTGCAGTCTTTTAACAGTCAGCTCTAGAGCTGAATTTATAACGGAAGTCTACCCCCAAAAGGATGGATGCAAAGTCCTTCTACTAGTGCTCAATATGACAAGGTAGCAATATAACTGAGGATAAAGTTCCGTCTTCAAGATGTCAAGCCTTATAATATTGGAGTCGGTAAGTTACCTTCGTAATGAACTTTAGGCTTTTATTGACATTCCTTTCGATCTTTACGTTTTGGATTGCGCTGTGTTGACACGACAATTCGCGGCCCACGATGGAAAACTATTGCATTTTCTGTGGTCTTCTTTCACGGGAGGTCTAATTAAGTTTATTATTATTGACAAAATTTCGAAGAACCTGCGTACAAGCTCACTTGCAACATTTAACTGTACTGTTGGTGAAGTGCTTTTAGAGTATGTACCAGGCTTGCGTGAGTTTCACATAGCTATACGTCGTGCCTTTCGTTTTCGTTTTAGAGTTCAAAGGAAGTGTCGCTCAACGGCTTCGCGGTGTGATATCTTTGTTTGATTGCGCGCAACGTTCGGGGAAACAAACAACCAATAAAATTATGGACCAATGCAAAACATGATATATTTACTTTGTACTTCGAGGGTATGTAATTTGAGTTTTTGAGGTAATTTGCAGATCATTCGATTTTTGGAAAACCCAAATAGGAGACCGTTAATTCGTCAGAGATAACATAGGCTTTCATGGAACGTACCTACATCGTGATTTCATTTACATACAGTGTAAGCTTACGTAAGCTTACATGTAAGCTTACATTCAGCAAAAAACTTCATAAATATTAAGCTTATGTTAGTTACATTTATTGGGGCAGTTGAATAATATACTTTCGGTAGAAATAAAATGAAATCAGGACAAGGAAAAACTAACAGATAGAAATATTAATATTATTATATTAATTATAGTTTCCTGCTGTCTAATATCACGTAAACAAATTACATACTGGACTCCCAGAGATGTGAATGGACCCCTTGGTGTCTGTCATTGCTAGGTTACAAACTATAAGTTGTGGATTACATTGTGTATAATTAAATAGCTTGAAAATGCTCATTAGGAAAGCAGGAATGAGGAAGTTTTGATTAGAAATATCAGAATGGAAATCTTTTAGCCCAAATAGTTTTGGTAGAAAGGACTCACTTCAGACATAAATTGACACTTTGTGTGTAACATCAATATTGGTATAGTTGGTGATGTTACCAAGATATATATTTTGATGTCATGGAAACTGCATGTCACTCTTGTATTCTGATAAATAATCTTATTAGGCAGTTAAGTGTGTTACATGTGGGTGTGTGGTAAACATTGCGCTAGTGTTATTTTAATTTTTACTTGTTTATATATTTAGTAAATTATGATTAGCCCTGCTGACTTGTCAAGAATATCGCAAAACTTGTGAAAATACCTTGAGTCTTGTATGTAATCTGCCAGTGGGAGGTGTGTATCAGGAAAAAAAAATTATCAGAGGAATTTATTCCAAGTTTGGCCTGGGCCCATTTGAGGGGGAATGTTGTAGAGATACAAATCAACCATTAAATATTTTTTGCAATATTTGTTCGTTTATATCTGACTTAGGGATCTGGGTGTAAGTTTATTGCTCTTATTTAGTTGTCTGAACATTTCATAATATGTTCTTGTGAAATGATGGACTCCTATCTTACTGTTTTCAAAACTGAAAATGAGGGAAATGTGGAGTGTGGTTTCAAGTTGTTTGTCTATGTATTTCAGAGTTTATTGGAGTAATCAAGTGTTGATAAACAGTGTTTAGATTAAATTTTAGATTAAGTTGTTTTAGTTATGATTAGTTGGTGCATAATTTTTAAAATCCAGTTTTCTCTAAGCGCAGAGATCAATCTTGTCAATATTAGAAATAAGAACATGAATTCAAATCTTTTTCAAAACCCATACCTGTCTTTCTTAGGATGCAGGAGAGCTGGAAGATATTGATGAGAGGCTCCAAAAGGATGGCTACAGAACAAACATTCCTGTTGAACACAAACTGCGTTACTTTTGGAGGCAGTTTGTACGTTCAGAAACCAGTCTCAAATCGTCTCTTGACAGTGTTGAACAACTCCGCAAACAGCATGGAGAAGAAATGATTGAGGTTGAAAACTATGTTGCACACATCAGGCAACTATCAGATGAAAGAGAAGCTTTGACACAAGAACTGGAAGCAGAAAATGAACAGCTGAAGGCTGAACTTGAACAGATGAAAGTTGAGAAGGAAGCAGGAGCTTATGTTTCAGAGGACATATGTGACATGTTGACTGAGTCTGGTTTAACACAGATTGGAAGAGACACTAATCCAGTCAAGGAGCAGGTGAATTTCTTGATTAAAGAGAGATCATCTCTTTCGGAGAAAGTTAGAAGACTGGAACAGGATAATGAAGCACTCAGGAAGAATTCTGATTCAGAGCAGTCGGATAAGCGACTGATGAAAATTATGGAAGAGGAGAGAAGGGACATGGAGGAAGAAATGAACAGGATGCGTGAAATGATGAAGCAAGTGAAACAAGAGGAGAGGAAGATTCATGAACAGGAAGTAAAGAAAATTACTGAAGAGAATGATAACTTGAAAGCACAACTTGAAAAAGTCCAAAAACAGCATACCGAAGACATGGCGGAGCTGATTAACAGACACCAAGGTTGGTTCTAATACAGAAAAGTCAGGCTCATTACAATTTAGAGTGCCCAAGTTTGTTACATGTACAAGGTTACATGTATGGAAAATATTATTAACTAGGCTGTGTTGCAGCAGTGTCCGCAGAGAAACCCATGGAAAAAAATTGCTCAATGTCTGCTGGTGACAGTATACTTATATGTAAATATGTGAATTATTTTAGCTGTTAGTAATATTTTTAACTCATTTAAGTGTTTTACTAGAAAATACACCACTCGTAAAATTCACAGAAAACTACATCTGTGACCCAAGTGGTATATTTTCCTTATCTTCACTAGTGAGAATATTTATGACCTTATTTCCCACTTTTTCGTGGTTGTTTGTCCACACAGTCAGTTTGTCTATATAGTAAAAAGAAAATTACATGTTGGCTTGAAGATATGAATTTTATTTTCTTTTTTTAAAAACAATGTTTTACTCACTTGTTGTGCTCTTCCATAAAACATTGTTTTTACCACTCACAATTAAAATTCACATCACGCTGCCATGTAATATATTTTTCCAGTGTCTTGCAACAAGACCAACAATGACAACAACAAACAGAACAACTTTATTCCCACCTAACATGTGCTACATGTAGATATCAATCAAAGGAAAAAAAGAAGTCCTTGTTGACCTTTCTTGAAACTGGATTTACTAAATGGCATTTAGCTAATTATAATATTATAATTATAATTATAATTTAATTTTTAGCGATTATAACAATTTGTTCCTGTGTACATTTATGTGCATGTATTTGTGTCAAAGTTATTTGCTTGCTTGCTTGCTTGCTTGATTGACTGTCAATGATGTAGTGATTGATTTGAACATTATTTTGGTCCTTTATAACAGGAGAAAAACTCAAGTTGTTAGAAGAGAGGGAACAGGATAAAGAAAAGACAACAGCTCATGTAGGCAAGGCTGACAAAGTAATGGCTGAAGTTGAAGAGCTTAAAGGAAAAATGAGAACTATTGAACTTGAGAAAACGACTCTTCAAACAACGGTAAGTTCCTAGCTGTAATTTGTGTTTGTCCTTCATCTTAGGTGTCACATGAGTGAATGCAGTGGGTCTGA